ACGTTGATATGAATTGTGGACATATCCTTGGTCAGTTGATGCAAGGTGTTTGCTGTCTTTGTTATTGATGCACAGCACCCTATTTCTATGGAAATCTTTGACTGTGTTGGTATTACTCAAGGCATCTATCCCTGTGATCAGTCCCCAGTCCATAGGAAAACTGTTGTCTGTGTCACATAAGGATGCATGAGGGCGATGACGTTCTTAATTTTTTCTCACTGGTTGCAACTTGCATAAAATGTTGGCCGCTCCTGCAGTGCACTGATGTGATAACCCTTCAGTATTGGTATCACAGAATCACAGAACGGTGGATGTTGGAAGGGACAAGGAGATCACCTCGTCCAACTCCCGTGCTCAGGTGGGGCCACCTAGGGCCACTTGCCCAGGACCATGTCTAAATAGCTTCTGAATATCTCCAGGGATGGAGACTTCGCAGCCTTCCTGAGCAACCTGTGCTAGTGTTCGGTCACCGTCACAGTGAAAAAGTGTTTCCTGATGTTCAGAGGGAACCTCCTGTGTGTCAGTTTGTGCCCATTGCCTCTGGTCCTGTCGCTGGACACCACTGAAAAGAGCCTGGCTCCGTCCTCTATGCGTCCTCCCTTCGGGTATTTATAGACATTGATGAAATCCCCTTGAGCCTTCCCTTCTCCAGGCTAAACAGTCTCAGCTTTCTCAGCCTTTCCTCATGTCCTCATGAGAGATGCTCCAGCCCCTCAGTCATCTTAGTGACCCTTTACTGGACTGTCTCCAGGATGACTATGTCTCTCTTGTACTGGGGAGCCCAGAACTGGACACAGCACTCCAGGAATGGCCTCACCAGTGCTGAGCAGAAGGGAAGGTTCGTCTTCCCTGACTCGCTGGCAGTGCTTTGCCTGATGCAGCCCAGGGTACTGTTAGCCTTCTTCACAGCATGGGCACATTGTTGGCTCATGTTCAACTTGGTGTCCACCGGGACTCCCAGGTCCTTCTCTGCCAAGCTGCGTTCCAGCTGGGTGGCCCTAGCTGGGTGGCATCTTTGTGACATGCTCGGTTGTCGAATGGGAACTCAAGACTCTGCCTTGAGAAACTGAAGCCTCCCAGTTGCTGGTTAAGCAGTTTTTGTGTATGTCCTGGAGACGGGCAGTGATATTTTGAATGAAATATAGGGTGTTCCTGGATATTTTTTGGAATGCCTACAAGATACGCATTAGCATTTGGTAATTTATTACCCAATAAGAACTAAAATATATTCTTTGGAAGAATAGCTCTAACAGGAAGAGAAAATTAAAATGCTTCTTTTGTCATTTTATAATTGGAAATCAACCTGACCTAAGACCATGAGTTAAAGAGGAACTTACATTAAGGTGATTTTATCCTCACAATTCACAATGAAGCAGAGCTTTCCCATGCAAATCATCACTTTTTTGTATTTGATCAGAAAGAGGGTTGGGTGAGTGGTACCCAGTTGTCTCTGCCAGTCTTCCTTTTTGTTCTCAGTAAAATTCATCAGCTTTACCAGTAAGTAAGTCCTTTCAAGTCCCAGGAAGAATTAAGAACCTGTAGAGTTTTGAATCTTGCCACCAGCCTTAATGAAGCTGCATAATTGAAAAGGTCTGTTATCTTTTTTCATTGACCTTGCTGACATGAATTCATGCTGATCAGGTAGATTTTTATATTACTAGATCAATAAATGCCCACTTCCAGCATTTCTGTATAGCATATACTTCAGGAGATGAAGTAAACCAAGTCTTTCCTCTGGTGTTTTTGGTCATGTATGGGTTTTTTATGCTTAAATTAGCATTGGATGACAATTTATTATACTTGTTTGAGTTTTTGGTGATGCACACATCCCAGCCCCACAGCTGCACAAGGTATATTGTGAAGCTTTTGTTATGATAATGGCTCTAATAAGGTTGCCTGTTGTTTTGCTTCAGTTTGCTTTTGGTATACAAACACTAGCCATTGTAACCTGGGCAACTGAAAACACTCACAGTATTGGTGCAATTGGACATAAATACAAGGCTGCAGGTGGTCAGTAACATTCTAGCATTCTTGAACAAATCCAATCCCCTGCAGTCTTAAGTACAATAACATACAGTATAGCACAGTACCAATTTTTTTATATAAAGCTGGTAAAACCAAAAGCAATGTTTTGAATGATCCTGCAGCCAGTAGAACAAGTCTGTGTTTGCTTTCACTACAGATAGCTTGTAAGGATCTGGTGCCGTTCCAGTTTCACTTGATTTATGCACATCACTAGCGCTGGATCAAAGTTGCTCTTTCTCTGAGCCACTCTCAATAACATGGAAGTGCCTCAACTGCACTTTGCATTTGTTGCCAGTGATGAAAAGGGAAATTTTCCGCATGTAATTGCCTAATTTCATTTCTGCAGTTTAAATCTGAACAAATCCTCAGCCAAATTCATCCGTAGCCAATCTTTTGTTCTCTAGCAGCCTGAGCTCACCTTTTTCCATGTCTTCTGAAACACCACTTGTGCCTTCCTGCTGTGCTCCACTTGCCTCTTTCACCGTGGTCTCTCTGCTTCTGTGTCCAGTGAAGCACCTTTTTGATCAGTCCCTTCTGCATTATTTTGGATTAAATGCCTGTTTTCTGGGCTCAGGCTTGTAGCAGCCATTTCCCTTGGGTGGTTGACATTTGCACCCACTCTACCTTGTGCTGATGTAAAAAGCCAAGTGGTGCCAAATGAGCAGTGTAAAATAGGGTTGTCCATGGCTCTGAACCCACAGTCTTCTTCCCCAGGCAGCCCACTGGCAGCTGAGCCCTTCCTAGGAAAGCAGATCCCCTCTTCGGAGAAGGGAGAGGCTCTCCTCTTGAAGGCAGCATCCCTTCTTTGGCAGGAGGTGGTGATGGATTTGCTGTCACTGAAGCAGCAGCATCTGTAATGCTGGTGGCACATGGGACGTGTCCTGGCAGTTTGCTGTCTGTATTGCTGAAAACAGCCTTGCACATGTGTGAGCAACCCAAGACCAAGCTGTGTGTCACCACTACCTCTGCTGATTCCAGCGTGCAGTGTTTGACAACACCTTTGCTGGGCACTTCTGTTCCCGCTAAACCAAGTGTTTGGACTGGAGGCATCTTGGTGGATGTAGTTCCTTGGCTTGTGTTTCACAGAGGTCATTCTGAGTGACAGAAAAGCCCTTTTTGGCCTTAAAACCTGTGGCTGTACAAGCTTTTCTGTCAGCTAAATACAACTCGAGAATTGCTCCTGACTCTCATGAGCACCAGGAGATTGCTTCAAACAGAAGTGTGTGCAGGATGGGAGCATGGGGCTTTGCCACACCTCCAGCATGTCCATACCCTAGGTTTTTTCCCCGATTTCATTTCATGTATTAACATAGAGTTTGGTTGGCTTGTGTTTTGTCTGGTTGGGAAAAATCTACCTTCTGTAGCATAATTACTTGGGGAAGTTTCTCCTCTATTGCTTCTTATATCACAGGAGTGTGGAGCTTAGTCATAACCTGACAGGCATCCCATGCTCTGAACCACCCAGGCAGCCCAGGGCAGCACTGCCTGCACAAGCTGCTGCTTCTTACACAAGTGTTTTAGGTGGTATTTAGTGGGGATGGGATCACAGAATCATAAAATGGTTTAGATTGGAAAGGACCTTTAAGATCATTGACCCCAACCGTAAACCTAGCACGGCCAAGTCCACCACTAAACCATGTCCCTAAGCACCACATCTACACATCTTTTAAACACCTCCAGCGATGGTGACTCCACCACTTCTCTGGGCAGCCTGTTCCAATGCTTGACAACCCTTTCAGTGAAGACATTCCTAATATCCAATCTAAACCTCCCCTGATGCAACTTGAGGCCATTTCCTCTCATCCTCTCACTGGTTACTTGGCAGAAGAGACTGACCCCCACCTCCCTACACCCTCCTTTCGGGTCATTGTAGAGAGCTGTAAGGTCTCCCCTCAGCCTCCTCTTCTCCAGACCAAACACCCCCAGCTCCCTCAGCCGCTCCCCATCAGACTTGTGCTCCAGACCCTTCAAATGAGGATAAGACAACCAGACTAATCAACTGTGTTCTGCATGTAGCTTTTGGCAGCTAATGCAGTTTTAACACTCATTGTGATACAGCCTGTAGAAGATAGGTCTGAGTATGTCGTTTCTGGTGAGGACAGGTCTAGTTCTAGTGTTGTTTTACTATTTCTAGCAATGAAGAGTTGCCTGAAGTGCATGAGAGTCTACGGAAGTAGCTCACACAAAGCCTTCTGTCATCCTCAACTGGAGCTAAAATGTTCCAAAAAATCGAAATAACCAAGATCAATCCATACTTAGGCTGTCCCGTCACTGTATGGTAGATATGTACTAAAACAAAGGATGAAGTCCTTCTATATTGTGGGGATCCATTTCTCATCCCCAGCAAACCCATTGTGAGCAGGCCGATTTACAGATCTCAGGAGAGAGTTTGATAAAAAGATGTGTGATTCTCCTATGATAGTTAAGCTTAGCTTGGTTTAACACAGATGCTAGTATGTTTTTACAAATTTTTATGTTTAGATTGTTTAACTGTAAGATGCAGATCAACAAAAAAAACCCCACATCCTTGGGTTTATCTTCATTTTCTCTTACTTAGATGATATCTTCAAACATTGTGTGAAATATCTTCCGTCCTCTGCAGGGTAGTCATAAACTGCAGGGATTTTTTTTTTTGTGTGTCTCACTGTATACTGTACATGCTGGTGTTTCACTGTGCTGACAGCCTTCTGGAAAGCCAAACAGTTTTTGAGACTTGGATTCATCTAGGTTCAGGCATCTAAAGTGTAATATCAGGTCTGAACTGGTCAACTAGATGCCTCTGCTGGTGAATGGAGTCAGGGAGAAGTGTGTACAGGGATGAGTCTTCCATTGCTAAAATTAATCAAGATTAATTCCATCCTTCCTGTTAAATGCATGTTGCTGTTAATGTATTTTATTGGATTCAAGGGATCTCTTTATGCTCTTTGTTTCTTGTTTTTATCTTGACGGTAACACGAATTCTTTTCTCTTTCCAGGGTGACTGTTGGATCTGTATGGAGCTCATGTCTACCTCGTTTGATAAGTTTTACAAATATGTATATAGTGTATTAGATGATGTTATTCCAGAAGAAATCCTAGGCAAGATCACTTTAGCTGTGAGTATTTTGTTAAAGCTTTTTGTGTGTGTTTTTGAAACTAATGTCAAAAATTCAGATCTCTCACTCACATGTGAGAAAGCTGATTGATCTGTGTGCAGCAGAACTGCCTCTGTTGTATCGCACCACGTTTCTAATGGTCATTGAGTATACTCTGACTTTTCCAGAGTGTATTGCATGAAAGAAAAACAAGTCCTGGCATGTGTGATCAGTTCATAAAGAAGACACCAGGACCAGCTTCCTACACTATCTGCTTGAATGTCAGTACTGACAGCATAGGCAACAGCCCCATCCTCAGGGATTGTTTCATGTGCAATGGTGGTCCCATCAGTGGAAGCTGTGCATGGGTCGTCTCATCCCAAGGAAGGTGCCTAAAATAGATCAGCTGTCTTCCCTTCCCTTGTTTGTAAAGGGAAGAAGGGATTGGGTATTTAGAGCGAGGACATGTGAACCCCACCAAACTATTTGAGAGTAAGAGTCTGGTCTCAGTGAGTTGCCTACCCCTTCTTTTGAGTCAATGGGGAGAAGTTAGTGCCTCTGTGCGGGAGCTGAGTTCCCATCTTAAGGTGCCTTAGGTGGTGAAGTGAGATGAATTCCACGCAGGGCATCTGAGTACAACCCTGCTACACAGAGCCCAGTGTCTCCCTTTAAGGAGCCCTGTAAAATTATCCTTGGCTGTGCCAAAATGAATCCTTAGTTGTCTAAACCCAAGGGCAAAGTCTGGCCCTGCAAAACAGACTTTTGGTTTCGGGCTATGAAGGAAGGGGTGATGAAAGGTATCCTGAAACCTCTGTCCTGCTTCTGCCTGTAAAAAAGTTCCAGGTCCATTGGATTTCTGCAGGGGATGATGGGCCACTCTAGTCCAGAGGAACCTCTGGTAGCCTTGTGCAAAGACTCCCAAAAGTACAAGTGATTCTTCAGCAGGTGGAGAAACTGGCTGATCTTTTCTTGCTTAATCTGGAAGTCCTGGCCCAAGAAAAAGTCAAGGCCAAGCCAAACAAATTAGTTCGGCGAGGCTGCTGGAAGGTGAAAGGCTGCAGAAGTGAAGCACTGTTCAGGAGTAATGGGGGAGAATGTGAGCAAATGCTGGAGCCATGCCATGTTGGTGACAGATGGGCAAACCGCCTCTGTATCGGCCCCAGCAAGTGAATGTCGCAGTAAGCTGGTGTCCTGAGCTATCAGACTAATGGGAAGGTGCAATGAGAAGGTGCTCAGCAAGTCACAAACCATGACTTCTTGGAAGGGTATGGGCAATTTCTGCTCAGGGTCAGATCTTTAGAGAAAACCATCTTCACTCTTCTAAGGAGCACCTTTATAAAATGTTGAGCCTACCTGGATCTGCTGCTGCTACTTACAGCTAACAGGCTGCCTTGCTGGCTCATGCACTCTCACATGTTTAGAAGTTTACAGCCAAGACTGAAAATCCTATCAAAGGCAGCCGTGGGTTCTGCAGCCCATGGGATGCAGCATCTTACCACCAATCAACTAAATGTATTGCTGTCCAAAGCAAGGCTTGAGATGTAGGCAAGAGATGGCTAGGTAAGGTCTGTCCTTCCAGAGTAGTCTGCTTGGAGTTATATGTAATTCTGTGGTGGAGAGAAAAGGAGATCTTTTTAGGGTTTGCAGGGTATTCGAGATACACTGGCCCACATTTTGGCTCAGACAGACCTTGCAAGGTGTTTGCCCCATGAAGATAGTTTGGACAGAGACTTGAGATGAGTTTTGAAGCTCTCAAAGGCAGTTTCTCTGCTTACCCTGTGCAGACAGCATGCAGTGAAAGTGCACCAAAGCTTTAACTCTTAGCCAGGGAAATGGCCACCTTGGTTGTTTCTGACCTGAGAGTGAGCAATGGATGAACTGAGTAATCTAAAATTTTCCATACCTGATACCCACAACAGATCTGAGGAGATAAAGCCCAGCTGCACTGTGTGGAAAGTTGTGGGCTGCTTGTTGTACACTGCTTCCTTCATGCTGCACCTGAAGGCAACCCAGCCCCAGCAGCTCCCGAGGGGAGTCTTCTGCACAGCCTGGCTTTAGAAGCTGAGGCAAGTTCTGACTAGATCTTGTCGTCTGGGGCTTGTTTCTGTCCACCTTTTACTAGAAAAGAAATGAGGAACGGCAATTAATAACTCTAGTATGAGAATGCTGGCCCTGAGTATCTTAGACCTTGAGGGCATCCAGGTTCAGAAGGTCTATGTGTGCACTGCCCTGGTAGCCCCATCATGTGCAGGTGGGGTATGTGCTGCAGCTCACAGCTTGGTGTGCTCCACTAACCACCCTTCATTTTATGTTGTAGCACTTTTACCCCAGATTGAAGAGCTGTGAGCTTCTGTTTCACCCGTTTGAGAGTGGGGACAGAAGCTTCTGACAGGGTCAGCTGGGATTTAAACCAACATTCAGTCACTAGGTCCAGCAAGCTTTTCTCTTGCTGAAGCTCAGGTCCAAGGAGGCCATCCAGTCTCATTCCACCATGGGCCTGCCTGAAAATCAATTGATGCTGTGTTGTTCAGAGAGATGTAGTGGCTTCTGCCAAAACAGAAACCTGCACTGGAGGACCAAGGTGGGCAACGAGGAGAAGACAGCACTTCAGCTGTCCCAGAGCCTGCCAGAATTTTTAATTGCCTAAGCACTTGAACGCAAGGTTGGGCAAGCAGGAGGGACCAGACTTTGGGAGTTGTTCCTCGATGCTAGACTTCATCCTTATGGTAGTACAGCTTCAGAGAGCTTTGCAGCACAACACGAACACCCTCTTGCCATCATCTTCAAGATGGTCTTTTTGTGACTGTCATAGGTTTCGACAATCTTTTCAGCAAAAGAAAAATGAATTAAAATGGTGAACTTTCAAGGTTTTTTTTAAATCTTCCAGTGAAATCAGGCTCCCTAAGTGTGTCTTCCATTTGATGGTGAGTGGTTAAATCAGAGTAGCCACTGCTGCTCCCCGCACTGTTGCTCCTCAGCCAGTGGAACAGGAACAGTTTTTACCTACTGGAAAAGTACAGCACAGGGCTTGAAATAAGTTATTACTCAAGACAATTAACATCAGAAATTGCTTGACTTCACCCCTTGCTCCCCTCTCCCAGAGTGTGATATTTCCAGGTTACGACGTGTGGTATATATTTACTTAAGCACGTACCCACTCTTACATGACCTTCTATTTGCAGGAAAGATTGGAGAAAAATGATTTTATTACAGCATCGATATCTCAACATATTAAATGCTTTTTCCCTCTGTTCTTGGAGCTCCAAAGGTTTAATAATTGCAGAAATCTTATGACATTTGCTTATTTTTCATCTGTTTTTCTTTCCTAGACTGTGAAAGCACTAAACCACTTAAAAGAAAACTTGAAAATCATTCACAGAGGTGAGTTCATGTCTTTTCTTCTCACCTACAAAAATAATTGCAAGAATTTTAAGCGACCTTTGCTTCAAGTCAGAATGTAATTAGCATGTGTACTACCATGAGTGTGAATACAAGTTTTGTACAAGTGTGTCCCCAGTGCCTGTTTCATTGCCCCTTCGGCCTGTGCTTTTCCATAAAAGCATGATTTCAAGGTGGTTGGGTTTCTACCTCTGCCTCTGGGCATGTGGCATCTTTGGGGCTGGCTCCGTCTCCTCTTGCTCCCGGTCAGGATCCTCAGCGGCGGGGAGTGCATCCAGTCACCCACTGCGCGCCCCCCCTACCCCATGCCGGTGTCAGTTCTCTGCAGCTGCTGTTCTAGAAATTGAAACCTCCAGCTGTGACTTACTGGTTTAAATTTCTTTCCCTTGCAGACATCAAACCTTCCAATATACTTCTGGACAGAAATGGAAATATTAAACTCTGTGACTTTGGCATTAGCGGACAGCTTGTGGACTCCATTGCCAAAACGCGGGATGCAGGGTGCCGGCCATACATGGCGGTGAGTGGGGAGGAGCTGGGCAATGGGAAGCTGGTGTGCCCATGGGCTGTGCAGGATCTTCCCCTCCTTCTGCAGGCCTGGCCCAGCATGGCTGTGCCTTTCATCTGGCTAAAGTGTCAGCCTGTTTCCTGTGGGATGAGCACCCTCTTCCCAGATGAAACCAAGCTCTGGATTGAGCTCTGCTGCTGGCAGCATCAGCAAAGGCATCCAGGCTGTGGCAGAGTGACCAAATTCCCTTATTTTTTTAGCTGGGTTCCTCTGCTGCTGCCAGTGCTGTGGTGCTGGAGCGGAGCAGAGAGCTTCTCTGCGCCTTTCAGCAGCACCCACTCATGCTCCAAAACAAACAGCACATGGGGGGAGGCAATGCCATCTGGATGTGGGGTTTTCTTGGTCTGCAAGAAATCCATTTGCTACGGTAAGATTATGTCACAGGAGTTGTTGCAGAGCAGAATTATAGTGATTTTTGCAAACCACTTTAATTCCAAAGTGTGGCATACTTAATTCCAGGAGAATGTGGTTTTAGAGAACAGTGGTAGCAGAGCAGCTGTGTGGAAATCGCTTGGGCTGAGCCGTGGCTCCTGGGAGTCTGTCCTGTTTGTATGCTTCTCTCTCCTCCCAGGGAGAAGAGCTGTGGTGGTGATTTTCAAAGCTGTCTGAGGGTTTTAAACACTTCTGTGCATCGGGCTGCTTTGAAAATGCATCTCTTGTTTTCATGTGAGTGGAGGGTACCTTGTGCGGGGAGCTGTGTGTCTCCTGCTGTCAGTGTAACTTTAATTTCATTGACTGTTTTTAACTCTCATTACTTATCTTATGTCTCTATATGCTGAAAAATGCTGGTTTTTGAACTCTTTTATCTACCACCAAGGAAACAAAAAAGGAAAATCTCTCTCTTTTAAGCTACAGTGCCCATCTGGTCCAGGTAACGGCTCTCATGTGGCTTTTATCTGACTGTGATGTCCAAGGCAAAACCTGTCTGCCCTAATTCTGATCTGTGCAAGCACAGAGTTTGAATTTCAGAGCACTTGACCTTTTCTTTTCACTGTCCTCATAGCAGTGCTAGTTACTCAATGAGCTGGACAGAATAGTACAGATGAGATCTATTATTGGAGACCAGTACTGTAGTACAGCAAGGTCTGTGCAAGCTCCAGACCTACATAACATGATGAAACAGGGAAGTTTGTTTAAATAAAGACCTTGTGAGGCTGGAGAGAGGGCAGAGACGTGTCTCTGCTCCAAGCACTTTCGGCAAGTTCATGGAGCTCCCTGCAGGGAAGATAATTGGTTAGAGCTGCCCCATTTGTTGTGTTGGTGGAGCATGAGATGCTGAGGGCAGCAGCAAAGAAAGGTGCCCCAGGAGGGGACAGGAGCCAGTGCAGTCTGAACTAGTCTGACCCAAGGCTCAGTATTTGCATCTCGGACCGCAGGCGCTTCTGATAGCATTGTTCTGTGGAATTATGACTGTTGTTGACTTTTCCCTCTCCTCTGAGATGTGTATCAGGTCTGTAAACAGGGCTGTTGAAAAATTGCTCTCTCCTTTCCCCCTCCCAAGTTCAGTGGGCTATAATTGCAGGAATTAACGTTCCCACTTTTTCTTTGAACCATGAGTAGATGGTTGGCTTTGCTCAGGATGTTGGTTTAGTTACAATGCGACAGTTACTGTCATGTCTGTAAGTAGCTACACTGCTTTATTTCCCCTGGGACTTGAGTGGGTGGGTGCTTCCAATAGTCCCTTGGTTTTCCTCCCTGTCTGTGCGTATGCACTCCACTCTTTGTGCAGCTCCATCACCAGCTCCAAACTTTGTTGGATTTTTAAGTGAGCAAAAGTGTTTCATTTCAGTTTGTGTATTCAAGAGCCTTGGCATGGTATACGGTTTGTGGGACAAGCTGGCATCTGGCAAGCGGTATGGGAGATGGCTGGCCTCTTCCCTTCTGCTCTCCGGGCTCAGTACTCCTCTCCAAGTACATGAGCATTTCCACGTACCAAGAAGCATGGGAAATGGGGAGATGTCCCCAGCATGCAGGCACATCTGCCAGCTCTTTCTCTAAGCCAGCAGGAGCTGATGGCTGTAGCGATGCTGTGATCAAACCTGAATATACCCGGGAAGGACTCAAGCCAGTCACACTGCTTTCAAAAGGAAAATAGTATTTTTTTTAAAGTGTAAAATAGGCAAAAGGCATTAGCAGTGTTCAGCCAGGGAGGATCTGATGAGAGCTGCTGGGTGATGCTCCTTGACAATGAGAGCGTGTTGCTCTGCAAGGCCCACTTGACCATGGCACTTGCAGTAATTCTTGTAGGATGAGTGCTTGCCCACTGAAGGAACCTGATAACACCGTGTTCACTGGAACTGGGTCCCCAAATATCTGTTGATAACAATAATATGGAATGTCAACCAGTTTGACTGCGAGCAGTCTGATGAGGCAGCAGGAGCCCCATCCAGCTGCTAAGCAAGTGCTGTGTGGTTTAACCAAAATTGTTAGAGCTGTCACAGAAAGCAGCCTATCAGCCTTGGAGCTGCCAGCGCTGGAGAAGTTGGTTTGCTTTTGCCTTTGAATTCCCCTCCGATTGTTATATGGAAGTAAAGGAGTACCCGTTGTGTTCTCTGAAAGAAAGAAAGGAAAGACGGAGCCCCCGCGCTGTCCTAGGTAGCAGCTAGCCCCCGGAGCAGCCTGAGGGCTGTTTGCTGAGCCCTCCTGAGACCTGTGTGCCAGTACCAGCATTGTGGGTTTTCTTTGGGTGAGGTTTCACAGCATGCTGACGGCAGCCTTAAACCAGCGGTGGGGGTGAGCTTGCTCCTGCCCAGCCCCTCATCCTCCCCATCTGCTGCTCCCTGCCATCCCTGCATTGCCTTTTGCTGTGGCAGTTGCTGCTGATTTGGGTGGGAGGGGAGGCTCTGTGTGCCATGCTGAAGCTGGTGGTCTTTGTGACATTACTGCTTTTTGCCTTAATACTCAAGTGCACACAATTTCTGTGTCAGAGAGGAGGGATGAGACTGTAAGCGCCTGGTTTAGGTAGGGGAGGAGACAGCCAGCATGAGGATGGACGTCCTGCCCTGCTCCTTTGGGACCTCTTCAGGGGCAGAATCTGATGGTGTTACAGGTATCCTTGGTTCCTCAGGTCCTTTCCCCAGGTCACCTGGGAGCTGCCCACTGCACACTGCGAATGTGCCCCAGTGCCAGTGCCCTGTGCCACTTCCCCCACCCTCCCCAGGGCTGCCTGCTGGACTCTCCTTGAAGAGTTGAGATGAGACGGTGGACAAGGGGATACATGATGCTAGGGGGTACGGAGCGGCCTTCTTGGTGCTAGTGCATGACTTGTGTCCCAACAAACACATTTCTGCTTGTCCCTGCCTGTGCACAAATGGAGGGCCAGTGCAGAGCCCTGTGGCTGCAGTGCCGCTGCAGACCAGTGTTCAGGAGATGTTTCCTGCTCCTCATTTCTCCCCGGTGAAGATGGGCAGTCGCTGCTGGCATCAGCATCCAGGGCCAGGTGGAGGTTGCGTCCCTGCAGTCAGATGGCTCATACAGAGTTCAGGCCACAGAATCATAGAATCGTTATGGTTG